GGCTAATACGTGGAGCTATAAACTTCTGTTAATTGTAATTATTTGTGCTTAAACTAGAACGATACGACTTTAAGCGTACGATTATTAATGCTTTACCTTGGCGACATGATGCACCACTTCGTGGTTCAGAGCAGAAATCACTGGAAGAGGTGTGACTGTATTCAAGGAAAACTTCCAGGGGGTCAAACCTCACATTGCGGTTATCTGGAACCGCATTCAGCCGGAATGAAAAACCAAACACCAAATGGTAGACAGTAGCCAAAACCATTTTTCAAAATCGAATGAAATGAAAAACAAACAAAAATTGTACCCAGTTATTTGCATGCAGCTGTAGTCAAATTCACAGCGGTCTATATCGCAGAACCTACGGATTATCGATGAATTTCAGCCATAACACCAAACGATTCTCAGAGAGCTGCATGCGCCCAACTGGAAGATACCGGCTAAAATGGGAGCTAAACGACGAACTAAACAAAAGATATGAAAGCCTGTGGAGACGAATCTCACGAGACAAGTGAGCGCGGAAATCGAGACTTGGAAATGCGGATTCATGCTAACTATAAAGAAATATCAGTCAATAATTGCCCTTGCGTTGCCTGTGGTGGGTTACAGGTCAAGTGCCATACAGTAATAATAATCTACCCAGAACAAAGCAAAGTTGTGTTGTACGCTGCTGATCCGAATCATTTGGTGAACCGAGTTTTTATGACGCTATGCCTCGCAGTTCAGTTATAATTTACGGCCGGTGATTCTGAAATACCGATTCAGATCAAGACCGTCATCAGACAGGTCAGCTATAGCTTTGTTCACAATATTTTCCACATTAATAGCTTCACGTGATCTGTAATGTTATCTGTTTGCTATTTACTGTTAACATAATTTTTATATCTTCGTTTAAAAAAATTATTCTTTGGCATAGTGTTTAACCAGCTCCATTCGAATGAGAGCGGAATTTGATCTTTGAACTGATGAACGACCCTAGCAACGATACTAACTGCTCATTTCAGAGTCGGGATAACAAACTAAAGTCACAGCATCAGCAAAAGCGCAAATGGCAATTCGCTTATTTCGCAATATTGGTAGCACGACGACCGAAAAACGATGCCCATCAACCAATCAAGGTACCAGCATTTACGCTTGAAAAAATACAGTATAGTACAAGTCAAACCTTTGTAAATTATTGTTTTCAGCTGTTGGAATGGGTAGAATGTTTTCTCATGGCGTAGATCGGCTACAAGCCTTCCCTTTACCATGTCATCATGGAGACACGTATACTTATGCGCAACGTTGCCCACATCTGGTATGACAACCAACCACATAAACACTATTAAATATTAAGTGTTAAACTATTACTTAGCAAAATAAGTTGTAGGATATTAGAGGGGAGGGACACGGTGACAAGAGGTTGACTCCAAACAGAGGAGGCGGCGGGTTCGAATCCGTCAAAAAAATGTATTGCCAAAACGGTCAATTCCGTTGAGGAAGCAAATTCACCAGCTGAGTAACGGATGGCAACTGAGCGATTTGCGAATAACACTGATATCATCATGGGGTCTTGGTGCAGTCATACCAGAATGGGAGAGATTCGTCATCATATCTGATGCGAGTACTTCAAAAAGCAACAATTTGCCTTAACTCATCTCACCGTGGAACATCATGTCAGTCAGCACAAGGAGTAAACTTTGTTGCTTCCGCGACTGTTTATCTTCTAACTCAATAACTCTGGGCGCATTACGAATGTCGATGATGAACTATTTAATTATTTATTAATTTCTTGCCAATGTCTCCAATGACTCTTCAAGATGGAAAACAGACAAAAATTTTGCTAAACATGTAGAAATGCCATACGGTCGCAGTTCTCCTTGTCTGCTATGACATGCTCATCATTCCAGTTTTCATTGGTGCATACAACAAACTCCATTATTTCCTCATCATGCTGCCAGAAACAGCGCTTGATCACAGGTTCGCGAACGAAGACGTGTTACAGGTATTCAGTCAAAGTTATTTGTGCGTGTTTAAGACGATCGCTGTTTTGTGGTTGAAATGTCTACAGGAAATTAATAATAGTGTTTTAACCAACCGCAGCCTTGAGCCCAAAACCATCGAATTAAAAGAGGAACAACCGAGGAAACAGTTGACAGTAGTAACAACGAC